TAGTAAAATAATGCTAGAAACAAATATTAGCAGAACAGTTGCTAAAAACTAACTGTAGCAATATTGCAGCTGAAAGTTAAAATTAGAAGAATAGTAGCAAAAAAAATTTATTTAGCAAAACTGTAGCTAAAAGCTAAAAAAAAACTGACCTAAATGCTAAAATTAGCTCAACTGTAGCTAAAAGTAAAAATCAGTAAAACATTTTTCTAAAAGCTAACTGCAGCTAAAAGCTAAAAATAGAAGAAAAGTGGGTAAAAGTTCAATTCAACAAAACTGTAGCTCAAAGCTAAATTTAGCTAAACTAAAAGTAACTAGCAAAACCATACATAAGAGCTCAAATTATCTGGACAGTAGCGACAGATGAAATTAACAAAATCAAGTGAGATAGATCAACGTCCAGTTAAACGGTAAGTTAAAACGGTTCACGTCGACCGTGTTGAAGCTGACGTGCTGTTTTCCGTCTCTTTCAGTCTCTGGTTGCGTTTCCCAAACTGAAGCGGCAGGTGTTGTCGTACGACCCGCCTGTTAGTTCGCCAAAAGACTTCACAGACGCCACAATCTTCTACGTCAACCAGGACTTTTCGCTCATGTATGTCATGTTTACTTCCTGTTTCTGCTTCTGAACCATTATGTCATCGTAACAGCCGAAGATGCTGAGAGAAATATTTCTTTAAACAACATCTGCTCGTCAGTTCACTGCAGGTTGTTCACGTGACTCAGCGGTAAATTGTTTGTGTCGTCGTGGTTGTTCGCAGTAAAAACTCCAAAGTGCAGAAGCGAGGAAAGATCAATCTGATCGGTCGGCTGCAGCTCACGACGGAGCGAATGAGAGAAGAGGAGAACGAAGGGATCGTTCAGCTCCGAATACTCCGAACTCAGGTTTGAAAACACAACGGCCAGGGGTGTTCTGGTTCTGACGGAGCTGCTGAATTGTCCCGTTTTCTGCAGCGGAACAGCTGCTTTGTTTCCAAGTTAAGGTTTTCAGGAACATCAAGTTTTTCACCTGCACACGCCACTCCGTAAGCAGGAGAGCTCCGTTTATTTCCTTTACTGAGGTTTAATGAACGCCTCGTTCCGTCTGATCTTTGTGTCCTCAGCACAATTAAAACTGGAAAATATATCGTTAACTACACGCCAAACTCACTAAATGTTTTAAAACTGAACGAGGATACCTCTTTTTAAACTTATAGTTGGATTTTGGCTTTTTATCTATTTAAAAGCTCGTCCTGAAGCGAAACACACAGTTGTATTTTTAGGTTTAAACTAAGAATCCTGTTCCTTATGTCATGGTTTAGGTTTCTAAATAGATCAGGCTGCTGGGTACCAGTATGTATTTTTAATGGTTTTCTTTTAAGTACTTCTGAGCAGTCTGAGTTTGAGAGAATTAAGGATCAGAGTCAGAGAGATTTATTTGTCATACACACCAAATGTGGTACATGAGGTGGGACGAAACTATGTACACAGGGTCCCAGTTACGTCCAACAAAAACACAAATTATAAAGAAAAACATTAGTAAGAGATCCGAGTCATGAACTAAGAATATACTACATTCACTATAGTAAGAATACACTAAGCACTAATGGTACAAAAACAACGCGCCAAAATAACAGCAGCTCGAGCTGAACCCTACGGGTCCGTTCAAGAGAATTTCTGTGTAAACAAACGAGAAAGGTTCGTAAACGATGGACTTGTTTAAACAGCACCGTTCTCACGAACCAGGCTTCTTGAAGCGCTTCACAACAGTCTGAGCCCTCGTTTGCCTCCATGCACGTTCATGCAGCGCTCCACTACAAAGATTTTCTTTTTTTTTAAACAAAGTGTTTTTATTGAATTTTTTTTCTTCTCAAAACACACAACAACAACAACAACAACAACAACAACAACAACATAGAACACAGAACCCTCCCACACCGGATCAGTCAAACAAACACAAACAAATAAAACAGGCATTGACGTACGTACAACACAAAAGGCTGCCATGTGTCCCAACAATTTTTTGACAGATCCCTTCAGGGCATATCTTATTTTTTCTAAATGGATGTGATGCATCACCTCCTTTATCCAGTGGACATATACTGGGGTGTGTGGGTCCTTCCAGTTGCACAAAATTAGCCTCCTGACCAGAAGAGAGCCAAAGGCAATCACATCCCCCTCACATTTGCTGAAGGACGTATCCACAGGGACCACCCCGAACATTGAAATGAGTGGAGATGGGTGAACAGTTTTGCCACATATCCCAGAGAAGGTGTCAATATAAATTTCCAAAAAGTCTGCAGTTTTGGGACATGTCCAGAATGTATGCAGGAGTGTAGCTGGAGTTTGTTTGCAGTGATTGCATGCTGGGTCCAGGTTGGCTTTGATCTTGGACAACTTGTCTTGGACCAGTGCAGCCTGTGCACCACCTTGAATTGAATTACAGCATGTCTCAGGCAGATTGAAGATAAGTGAATGTTCTTAACGATCCTTCCCCAGATTGAGTCTGATATGGGTTCCTCCAAGTCCGCTTCCCATTTCAGTTTGGACTACAAAGTTAATCTGAGTAAATCCTGCTGAAGAGGCTAATGTGTTTTTCAGATCACATTTGTCCACTGATGGGACACATCGGAGCTCACGAGGTGCTCCGAGTCTTGCTCAGGAACACTCATGTGACTGCATGTTGGTGGAATTAAACCTTCGACTCTCAGGTTTGAGGACAACTCCTTCAGCCGCTGAGCCACAGCCGCCCCTGCCCTGGCTTCCTGTCCATTCTAAGATTATACGTCGTATGTGTCACACCCTGAGTTTAACAGGTGGTGGCGTCTAATCTGAACCATCCAGATTATTGATCATTTTTAAATCCCTGCTTAAAACGCAAACAGCTCACCTTCTGAACCGGAGCAACTGCTGCACTTAAGAGGTTTAGGACTCCTTGAAGGAATGCATATTGCCCGCCGCTTCTCTTGCCAGAGTTTTTAGAAAATACGTTATTGTGGTCAAATCTTAAAACTATTACAGCAAGAGATTTGTTAGTCCCAAATTACTCTACATCGAATGATAGCGCTCTGAAAGCTTCACTAAAATCCATCCAGTGATTCGTGAAATATTTTGCTAACAGACGGGTAAAAGAACACACACACACAAAACGCTCACCTTTTCCGTGCGCTGATTAATAATTTCAGTGTGTATGAACCACACAAAGCTGCTGGTGTGAGCATCTGTGTGTTTTGTGTCCAGGAGGCCATCATCCAAATCATGAAGATGAGGAAGCGCATCAGCAACGCCCAGCTGCAGACGGAGCTCGTGGAGATCCTGAAGAACATGTTCCTGCCTCAGAAGAAGATGATCAAGGAGCAGATCGAGTGGCTCATCGAACACAAGTACATTAAGAGGGACGAGTCGGACATCAACACCTTCATCTACATGGCCTAGGCAGCGAGGACGGAGCGCACCTTTACCGTTTTTATCTGCTGGCCTGCAGCCGGCGCTTTAACGTCCCACACGGGGAGCCGAACCAGGAACTAAAGCTGGTGTTTGAGGAGGAGAGAGGTGGTGATGGACAGGGAGGTGAAGCTCTGCAGAAGTGTGGATGTGAGGAGCCAGAGGAGATGGGGCTGTCTGTGCGTCTCTGCTGCCCTCTAGTGTTTCACCAGGGGACAGCCGCCTTTTTTGCCAGAGGCTCAGAAGAAAAACAATTCAATAAATAAAATACTTCCTGCCTTACTTTTCTCAGACGTGGAGCGAGAGGAGGATAAAAGCTGATGTTTTGCTTTCACTCAATGCCACAGCGCTCATCCTGCTTCCCTCCTTTACACCATTTTTATGAACTGTTGTTTTTTGACAGGAAATGCAAAAAAATTAAAAAAAATTAAAATTTCTAGTGAAAGTTGCCACTGAGGAGGAGCGGACACGCTGAAAGACTTGTTGGAAACACCGAGGAGTATTTTTGCCAAATCGTGTGTGTGGTGTGTGTGTAAAGAGTGTGTGTTCGGGTGCATGGTGTGTATTTTAGGCGTGTGTATGCGTATGTGCACTTTCAACAGCATGCTGCTCTGATTCGTGTTCGTTTGTTTCCCTTCAGCGGAAAACGTGTCACAGTTTGAAAGAGTGGAGAAGATCAGCTTTTGTTTCAGTTTAAGTCCTGTGAGCACGACTGAACAAATGTGATTAGTCTTTTGTTTTTGTTTGTTCGTTTGATTTGGACAGTTTTCATTCTGCAAACTATTTATTTGGTGTGTAACAACACATGCTCTGGACATCGTGGAATTAAATACAAACCTAATCAAATGTGGGCACTGAAAAATGTGACCCGGTAACTTTATTTTGTGTCAGTAAAACAGAAACACTTGGACAAAAATACTCCCCCCCTCCCTTATTATTTATGTTCTATACTTGAGTATGTTTTGTTAAAATTAAAGTTCTGAGTACTACAATGTCAGCTTTAGTTTGGGTATTATTACACCAAAGTACACAAAGCTCTTTTGAACACAGTATTTAAAGTTTATCAGGGTGTAAATGGCATTAAATAAAGAGAATACTTTTGAAGCAAAGCAAAGTGTCATCTGCTGATCCAAATATTAACCAAACCTTGAAAATAATGTGCAACTGTGTGTGTGTGTCGACGACTCTCGGCTACTACCACACCGAAGCTCAGCTCAGTGTCTAAAATGGTCTGAACTGTAGCTATTTTTGTCAAGTTGATTAACTGTGGCAGCCATCTTGAATCTGGTCGACTCCCAAAGACGATCAGTTGTAGATGTAAATGTTGTCATACATTCTATCCAGTGCTTCATAAGATATTTTGCTAACAAATGGACAGTTGACTTTAAATGGTGACTAACAATATTTCAAATATAAATCTGTTGACGCAAAGACTTGTTTCTGCTACTACCACCCTAAAGTTTAGCTCGGTATCTATAAATATGACCAAGTTGTAACCAAGGGCAGTTGGCTGTGGCGGCCATCTTGAATATGTACAGTGATGCTTGACTGTTTGCGAACTCTTTAGAATTCTATGTTTCTGCATAAATATGACCTAAAACATCAGGTTTTCCCACGTCCTAAAAGTAGATGGAGAACCCAGTTAAACCAGACAAAAATATTATACTTTCATTAATTTATTGAAGAAAATGATCCAATATTACATATTTGTGAATGCAACTAGCTGTTTGGCTCCACAGGTTAGCTCTCTGTTATTGTTAGTACATTTTACAGTAACATTTTTATAAGAAATTAAATTGGGAAACTGGATATATTCCATTACGATGAGGCAAATTTTTATCTCATCGTAATGGAATATATTCGAATGAACAAAATAGTTTCCCAATTTAATTTCGTATAAAGTTATGTTACTAGTATTTTGTGGCCTCACAGTCCTGAACTTTATGCAAAATAAATTCAAATGTACAGATTCTATGTAATTTAAGCTATAAAAGTTATTTCTTGTTAAATTTTTAATACACTACAAATTCTAACTGTCGCACAATGTCGTCACAGTTTAATTTTACTCGCATAAAAATCTTTTTAAACACATCAAGCATTTAGAAACTAAACCGTGTGCTTATTGGAACTTTTATCAGTTTCATTATTGATCTCATTTAAAACAACTTGGCATGAAAACCCACTCTGATCACATCTCTAACGTCATGAACAGATTTAGTTTGAGTTCAAATTTTACTCCAGGGAAATTATCAAGTAATTTTTTTAACCTTATTTCTGATTTACCAAAATGATTTACTGTAAGTTACTGCTAAAATTTTAGACACTTTATTGTAAATTTCAGAAGTAATCATCGAAGGTACGTTTACAGATGTTAACTTTTGTACTACAAATGTAATTTTCCATGTTCGATCAAAACGATTGTAACAGTTATTACTCAAGATAATATCTTAGTTTAAAACTCTGGTATAGAAACCACATGTAATATGCATTACCAGTACTTTAAAAGGCTTGGCCCTCAATTAGTTTTTTTATTTTTTATTCATTCATTCAATCTTTATTTAAACAGGTTAATCCCACTGAGTCTTGGAGACTCATTTACAAGAGAAACCTGATTTTAACAAAGAACAAAGAATGACGACAACAGTGGATAACAATAGACAATCATAAAAGAGGCATACATTTTTTTTTTTACAAATTAACATAAAGTGGCAACCAAAAGGACAGTAGCGAAAAAAAACCCAGCTAGATTATAAGGTGGTGTAGAAAACTAAAAACAGGAACATGTCTGCATTGGTTCTTGCCTTCTATTTGGTCACAAGTTTATATTATACTGTGAATATAGAACGTTGTTAATAAACACTTAACACTGTATTTAAAAGAAAAAATAAATTGAAAAAATACTTAGTAGAAAAACACAAACTTTTGAAGGAAATCTGATAAAACATTTAACTAGAGCAGTTACGCACTTTCACCACTTAGGGAAATTCCGTAAAAACTTGTACGTGAAATCTGCGTAGTAGACCAAAGTGACTCAAGTAGCAGTAGTCACGTGACTTTTTTTACGCAGCGAACAAAACGCGCGATATTTCATCTTTACGTCACCGACTGAGCAGCGGCAGGAACTAGTTTGCTAACTAACGGCACAACCTTTAGATTTAACACCCCCCGTACTGTTTCTCTGAGCGTCCCGCTCTGAGTTTGAGAGTCCAGGAGAAGCAGGGCGAAGAGCGGTTCGCCGTTTGTCCGCCTCCGGCTTGTCGGGCACGTATTCACGGAAGAAGTAGTCTCGTGCTAATTAGCCAGATTTGCGTCCACAAGTAGGTCACAGCTTCTTGTTTACGTCGGGCTCCTGTTCGTCTCCGTCGGCCCGCAGACGTTTTCTGCATCGCGGACGATGGTTCTGTTGAAAAACCTCCATCCTCCCACCGAGGGTGTGCGGCACGAGCAAGCCGACACCGCGGCGGTGCTGGACGGGCAGAAGTTGGGCTGCGGCACGCTCTACGTCGCCGAAACGTAAGTGACGCACGTGCCGCGTTTTTTCACCTGTAAACATCAGGTCAGTTGCTCAGGTCGGTACTTAACGAGGATTTAACGCTACATCCATAGTTGATCTGGTCTACTTTTGTGTTTCTGATGTCATTTATGATGTTTTAATTGATTAATGTGAAGCACTTTGTAACTTTGTTTGGTGCTATACAAATAAAGTATTATTATACTAATACTAATAAATAGCTGCTCTGGTGGTAACGCTGGGTAACATTTTGTTTTTTTTAAATCTGTCCATTGATTCACAAGATATTTTGCTAACTGGCAGGCCTGTTATTCATATTGGCGGGCAATAACAATGAATGTAAAATGTCTTAAAACGTGTTTTGTTGCTTCTGGTGTCGTCCCCTGTTGTTTTGTCTCAGGCGCCTGTCGTGGTTCGATGGATCGGGGATGGGTTTCTCACTCGAGTATCCCTCCATCGGTCTGCACGCCATCTCTAGGGATGTCAGCGCCTACCCCCAGGAACACCTGTACATCATGGTGAACGGCAAACTCAGCGGTACGAGGAGCTCAAACTGTCCCTGCTGACTTGGAAGAACGTCGGGTGTCAGACACCAACTTGTTTCTGCCTTTTCTTTCATGGGAAAACGTTTGATGCCGGTGGCTTTCTGTGCAAAGATTTGTTTTTGAGCATTGAACAAAATGTTTCACACTAGATGTCACCAAAAAAAAGGCAGCTTTAAGCTTTAAACAGCTTTAAAGCGCAGGGTGGCTTCTCTAAGACGTTGTGATGTATTTTGTATTTAAAGGTGAATCACTTGTTACAGATGAAAATGAGGCAGAAATGACTGAGAAAGCAGATGACGGGGATGATGGCGGCAGCAGCAGCGATGGGGAGGGTGATGATGATGAGGGGCCCATCACAGAGATTCGATTTGTACCTGGTGACAAGACGGCACGTGAGTGATCTACTCGCCTTTTAATTTAATATTTACCGAAGAAACTAGCTCTTTGTCAGAAAGACGACCAAGCGTAAAGTTCTGCCTGATTTTAAACAATAAAGTAAAATTCCTACATGATATCTGTGGATATTTAAAATGATAGTGCAGATCTTTTGAATTGGGGTTCTGGTGAGAGATTATGACCAGTTAGTGTCTTACTTGCTGTAGATAGCGCTTCGAGCAGCCTCAGTTGAAAGAAGTGGAGTTAAATTCTGACCGGACTGAAGAACTAACGTCTGACTGGGCCAACAATCAGACTGGATTACTATCGGCTTGAAAAGACTTTTATATCGAAAATTTCATTTTGATTCACGCGAGTGCTATTTTAAAGACCCGATCAGTTCTGTTTTACACAATTTTAACATGAAAATTTAGAGGTTTTAGCATGCACAAGTAGCAGCAGCTAGCTTTCATATATCCTTTTCAGCCTGGGGCTCTTCCCACAGGAATATCCAAACATTTTTTTCCTAGAATAACCATGTAATGTGATGTTAAGGTTTATATAATTATTTTAAATAGGCTCCTGTAAAAAAATAATAAATTGTTTGAAGCAGCAACAGTCAGCTCTCCTGCTGCCCTCAGTGTTAAGACGGAGGCCTCGTGGGTTGTTTTGACCCAAAGGCAGCAGGAAGGGTCTTTCACAAGATGGGACTTGGACGCCTTCTGACCCCCCTCAGTGTGATTTCCGAATAGACCGAGGTGGTCAGGGGGTTGGAGTCAACCCACCCCGATGCACCTTCGTGTCGAGGAGTGAAGCAGTAATGGATCTGAAACGGTCAATGTGTCAAACTTTAAGCCGTTGTGGCGGTTCAACAACGTGATAAATTGTAAATGGACTGTACTTATACAGCGCCTTTCTATCTTATTTCAAGACACTCAAAGCTCTTTACACTACAATCTGTGCCTCATATAACCTTTCATACAGCTCTATACTAGATCTCTACAAAGCTAATTGAACAAATCATTCTAAAGAGACTAATCAGAGCTTTATCACATTCATACACTGATGGGACACACATCAGAGGCTATGAGGGGTTCAGTGTCTTACCCAGGGACACTTCAGCATGTGACTGCTGGTGGATTCGAACCCCCAACTCTCGCATTGGCGGACGACTGCTCTAACCACTCGGCCACAGCCGCCCCATGAAGCGATGACCTCTGGTTTGTGCGGCGACCCGTCCTCTGGCCTAAAGAACAAACAGATTTCTTACAGAGGCTCAGTGATGATGCACAGAAGCTTCGTATGTAGCTTCAAAAACTGGTTAGCCCCAAAGAGAATCATTAAACTCATTAATTCGTCATGTTTTTGAAGATGATAGAAGACAGAAATCTGGCGCTGTGGGGCGGTTGTAGCTGAGTGACCAGAGCAATGATGTAGCAGAATGTATGAATGGGTAAATGAGGGCACAGATTGTAGTGTAAAGCACTTTGAGTATGTTGATAAGATAGAAAGATGCTAGATATAGAGTCCATTTACCATTAATGCGTTGCTCCAACACTTATTTTAGTTCTGAGAAGCTCGGTCCATTTCTTCAAGCTCACGTTTAAATCTGTGATTTATCAACAGCCCGAGGCGGCACTGCTCTGTTCAGCCATTCAATAAACCCATTTTGGGTAAATCCCAAGTAAACAAAAAATACTTAAAGTTTTTAAGCCTTGACATTCGGGGCCGTAGCCTCAGATGTTTTCAGTCAGAGGAAAGCTGAGCTTTAAGGTCGTGAGAGACACAACTGAAGTCAAAGAGTTATCTGAGACAGGGTTTGTTTATAACCTTTCTGCAGAATCCAATTTGAAAAAATCTGAACTAACACTTTTTAAGGTTCCTAAATCAGATATCCAGTCACAAACTATCTCCACTAGTGGCCTCCATATTGTTTTGTTTACACCTAATGTGAGTTTTTGTTCCCATCAAAATAAAGTAAAAGTAAGGTAGCCATCGTAAAAGCAGGAAGACGTTAGATGTTTGGAAGGACAACGCTGAGGGACGTCTCGTTTCTGTGTGTGTCTCACGCAGTGGAGTCCATGTTCTCAGCGATGTGCGAGTGCCAGGCCTTGCACCCCGACCCGGAAGACGAGGACTCCGACAACGACTTCGAAGGAGAGGAATATGACGTGGAGGAGGCCGGTGAGCCGAAACACACAGACCTAAACCAGTAGAAACCAGTCAAATACTTTTTCTTTTGATTCAATACCTTCATCAGACGCTTGGGTTTGATCTGTGGTGAAAACAATTTTCAGGGTTCGTGTGTTTTGTCACTTCCTGTCATAATCCTCACTCCGAGTGAAAACACTGCTCTGTGCGATTTATATGACTCTGTTTTTATTTGTTTTTGTCTTCATGGACCTGATGTTTGGACCTGATGTTTACAGAAGCAGGTAGGACCTCCAGAACACAAACACACACAGCCTTTGTCGTCGTAAAGAACCGTTCGTTCTGTTTCAGAGTTTTCCTGGTTTGTTTCTGGCTGTAAACTCAGAATCAAACATCTGAGATTGAAGCCAGACCTGCTGGAGGTCACAGCTCTGAGAAGCGTTTAGATCTTCATTAACTACGCTGATATATAAAGAAAACTCTGAGAAGCTCAGTTACATTTTGAACCGTTAAAACAGAGAAACTTCTGCTTTTCAAGCAAAGTTTTTAAACTAAAATGACAAGTGAGGTGCCGACTTCTGTTTTAGTGCGTGGCAGCATCTTAATAGTGAAACTTTCAGAAATGTAATCACTGCACTGACGCCTTCAACTGATTACTTTTAGAGTTAATCCAATTAACACCATATTCTGTGACCACCGTATATTGTGACCGTAGGGGGCGCTGTTGCATTTTTACATCATACTTTGCAATATCTGATAAACACTATCATATTGTGTGACCGTCTATATTTCCATAATACTCATGACTTTAGTGGGCAGATGTTAATTTTTATTCTTTAGAGGAAGGAGGCTGCCTGTCTCCTTCCTCTAAAGAATAAAAAGTAAACTCTGATCACTAATATCATGACTATTATGGAAATATAGATGGTCCCAGAATATGAAAGTGCTCATCAGATATTGTGACCACACTGTAAATTATAGAAAAACATTAAATACTTGAGCCAAACTGTTTCTGCTGACTCTTTACTTCCTCTAAGGCATAAAAAGTAATATGGGACATGTGTAAATCTACCTTTACCGTAAAGACACCTGTAAACAGGAGTTACGAGCGTCAGCAGGTGAGATGGGGAGACTGTGCCGTTCTTTTGCAGAGGATCAGGCGTCCTCCAGGATTTCCTGGCAGTTTGCAGCCTTTGGGTCTCCTTGGATCTTTACAAAACTTGCTGCCGAGAAGCTCTTCCAAACTCCAGTTACGATTTAATCCGAGTTTTCGTCTCTTTGCCACTTTCCCAGAAAGGTCTGACTGGTGAAGAACTCTGGCAACAGTTGGTGTATGCAACGTTTGTTTTTGTCAGAGAGGCCAAGTTCTGCTGACCATGACAGATGTAGACCGGCAGTGAAAGGGTAGAACACCCAGAGGAGGCAGGTTCTTTCTGTAGGAGCAGAAACTGAGGAGTTAGTTGAGCTGACGGCTCACAGGAGTGAATTTGTCTGTTTTGTTTGTTTCAATAAAGCAGCAGAACTTTTACTTCCTATGTTTTAAATGTGACTGCCCGTTCAGAGCACGGCCATGCCGACGTGCCGACCTTCTACACGTGTGACGAGGGTCTGTCGGCGCTCACGCAGGAGGGCCAGGCTACGCTGGAGAGGCTGGAGGGGATGTTGGCCCAGTCCGTCAGCCAGCAGTACCACATGGCCGGAGTGAGAACCGAGGAAACCAAGGCTGACTTTGAAGGTTTGGGTCTAACGCCAACGAGTCTCCTCAGCATGACGCGACAGACGCTTTTAGACTTGTAGCTTTGTCTTGCAGACGGCATGGAGGTGGACGCCGCAGCGATGGAGGCTGGACAGTTTGAGGATGCAGACATCGAGCACTAGTGTGAGTCGGGTTTGTTTGTTTGTGGCTAAATGAGCCAAATTATTTCAGCTAATCAACCTCAGAAACCCCCAAACGGCTCATTTATTTAGTGATTCCAGATTTTGAGCTATAGTTTGGTGTGGTAGTAGCTGAGAGTCATCTCCAGCACAAACTGATCCTGAACTGACCGCACGAACAGGGTGGCAGGTGAGAAGGAAAGGGCTGCCTAAAAGCTAATGGTAATAAAAGACTCGCTAAAAGCTAACGGTAGCAAAAGTCTAGCTAAACAATAATAGCAAAGAGCTGGCTAAAAGTTAATGGTAGTAAAAGACTTGCTAAAAGCTAATGTAGCAAAAAAAAGCTAAATGGTAATAGTAACAAAGAGCTGGCTAAATGCTAACAGTAGTAAAAGGCTGTCTAAAAGCTAAAGTAGCAAAAGCTTGGCTAAAAACTAATGGCAAAGAGCTGGCTAACAGCTAACAGTAGCAAAAAACTGTTAGCCTAAAAATTAAAAGCTAAAGTAGCAAAACGTTAGCTAAATGCTAGTAACAAAGACTTGGCTAAAAGCTGAAGGTAAAAGGCTGGATAAAAGCTAATGGTAGCAAAGAGATGGCTAAAAGGTGATAGTAGCAAAAGGCTGGCTAATAGCTAATAGTTTCAAAAGGCTGGCTATAATCTAATAGCAGCAAATGGCTGGCATAAAGCTAATATCAGCAAAGACCACTAACAGCTGAAGGCAGCAAAAGGCTGGCTAAAAGCTAATAGTAACAAAGAGCTGGTTAAAAGGTAATAGTAGCAAAAGGCTAACTAAAACTAATAGCAAAGAGCTGGCAAAAAGCCAAAGTATGAAAAGGCCAGCTAAAAGTAGCAAAGGTTTGTCTAAAAGCTAAACATAGTAAACTACTGTAGTTAGAAAACATCTAGCTAAAACCTAAGGTAGCACAAGGCTAGCTTAAATTAAAGTAGCAAAAGGATTGCTAAAAGTAGCCAAAATGTATCTAGTAGTTGTAAAAGGCTAGCTGAAAGCTAAAAGTAGCCTTGTAGTATGCCTTGCTAAAAGTAGAGGAACTGCTAAATGTAATAGCAGCTAAAGGCTTGTCCAAAGCAGTAGCAGCAGAACAGTAGCTAAATGTAAAAGAGGCTCTAAAGGATAGCTGAAGCTGATTTCAAAGTCAGACTGAATGAAATTTTTGAAGGAACTCAAGATCTCAGCGTGTTTTCGTGAGAAAAGGTTTTTAAATCGAGCTAAATGTTTAAAAAATGATCAAAGTTACAAAAACCAGTCGACTCCCATCAGCTGAACGAGCCAAATATTTTGATATCTGACCAGCCGAAGGAGTTCCATGGTGCATTTAACACAAGCGGCAGGTGGTTCTGGCTGTTTGTAGCGTCTTCACTTCGGCTGTTTTCTCTTTCTGCAGGTCGAAGTCGTCTCCGGCTGAAGCGCCGACGGATTATTTGTCGGGACGTTTTTGTTTCCTTGTCCAACAGATATTCCTCCTCGTTCCGAGTCGTCTCCCGTTAAAGTTCGCGATCAACAAACTGCCGTGGACTGGAGCAACAAACCGTTTCTTACTTCGACCTGAAGACCCGTTTTTTATTTTGTTGTTTTTTTCTGATAAAGAAATGCGTTTGTAAGAAATTGTCAATAAACTAAATGTTTTTGTATTTTTCTTTTGTTTGATTTGTTAAAAATCAGTGATTTTTGTTCCTTTCAGTGAAATTCTTCGTTTAACAAAACAAAAAAAAAACATAGTGACGAAAACTCTGACCTGACGAGGACAAATATTTTTCTGATGTTTGACTAAGCACTCAGCTGACCGACTTCTAAAAACTGAAACCTGTACTTTTAAAAAAATAACAAAAAGCTTTGAATTTGAAAAATGTGTTGATGCTCACATTTTGTGTTCGGAATGACTCGGCTACTAAAATGAGTTTTACCTCAAAATTTGTGTCTCTGCTGTAAAATGAGAACGAGGCTGCAGTGAAAAATGAACGTAAAAATATCTTTTTTTTTTTTTTACATTAACGTGAAATGAGTTAATAAAAACCTGCATAAAATGCTAAATGGTCTTTAAATCAAAGTGTTTAAACAAGGTATTTTCAGAAATGATCCTTTTACGTCTTATCTTTTACTTGTCCGATAATTCTTTGCTGACATGGCACCAGGAAATCCCTTCGTATAATAATTGACCTCCCGATGACGTCCATACGAATGTATGACAATCCAGTTATTGAAGCGGCACTCGTAAACAAACCCAGCTGGCACCTGGTGGTAAATCGACACATTTCAACAAACCGGCTCATTTTGAAGCTTGTCAGAAAAATAACTCGATGTTGAAAACGTCTTCACTGAGGCGGCCATTTTGAAGAGGGGTCGCTACGAAAAGTGACAGCTGCGGACGTTAACGAAAGAATTTTCAAACAAACAGCTCGCTGGTAGTGCTGGGATGACTCAGCTACTACCTCCCCAAACCTTAGCTCAACATCTATACAATTAACCGTTCCTGCCTTTTCTTGTTTTTTTATGGTGGCCATCTTGAATCAGGTTGACTCAACGGTTGACCAGTTTTACATCCAATCATGAGCATCTCAGTTGTTGGGATATTTTACTAACAGACACATAATTTGCCTTCTGGTGGCAGACAGGAACAACTGAAGTCATTTTTTTTAGAATAACTTGATTTAACTCCACCAAATTCACGTTTTGAGCTCATTTTCTTGTGAAACTACAAAAAGCGTCCGGGTTCTCAGATTCAAAAGAACTTCTCGTGACTTTGTTCTTGTAAAAACTTTTTTGGTGTAAACTTTCAACATCAAACTTGTTGAAAAAAGCTTATTATCTAACAAAACAATCCTTTTTTGTGTGCGCGTGTGTGTTTTTTATTTTTTATTCTGAAGTGATGGAAGCAGGACTTAAGAAAACAGATCAACTTTCGTCCTGGAAATATTTTACTCAGCGTTGACGTTAATTTTCTCTTTATTGAGAATCTAGAGGCACTAAAGTAAAAGATCCCTAACATCAAGTCAGTTAACATTATTTACCTTGTATTAAATGTTTATCCTCTAATAAAAGATGTTAAACATGGCCTAAATGTGTAGATTGATGAGATTTTAGCATTCGAACATCTGAATGTTGAAATTTAGCATCTTAACTCTAAAAACGACTCGTTTCTAAATTTGTGTTGATTTTCTGCCGTTTGTGCTTCAACTTTGATGTGACTGGATGTTTTTTATGGTTCAGAATAAGAAAAAAGTGCATATCAGTGTTCTTGTTGCAGCTGCGTGGCTTTAGCTTGTTGGTAAGAGCCGGCGGGCTCTGTGGTCTTCGGCTCATGTCTTCTTGCTCTGTGGTGGCTGAAGAGAGAGTTTATCAAAGAGCAGCACCGAACTCATCCACCCTGAAACCAGAAAAACACACGAGGGAGGAGATGAGCAGCAGACAAACGTTGTCTTATTATTATTTTTATTATCAATTTTACATTTAGAAGAAATAAAGTATAATTAAAAAAACAATGTGGAGGAAATATATTTGATGTTCTGCTGTTTAACTTAAAACTTTTCCAAAGAACATTTTCATTAATGATGCTTTAATAATTATATTAACTGATGCTAACTTAATCACTTTTAGACTGTTTTAATACTTTTAGCTTTTAGTTTGTGTTTTGCCTCTTTTAAATTTTGGCTAGTCTTCTGTGCCCTTGAAGTTTTAAGTTAATGTTTGCCTTCCTTTATCTAGTTTTTTAGTTGATTTAGCTTTCAGTGAGTGTTTTGCTACTTTTACTTTTCAGAATCAGAATCAGAATCAGTTTATTATCGCCATGTCAATGAACGAGGTTCACAAACTAGGAATTTGCTTCGAAATAAGGTGCGAATAGTAATAAAGTAAAATAAAGTAAAAATTAAGTAAAAATGAGAACATTACATAAGACATAAGCCTGTGTACACCCACAAATAAAGTAAAATTAAAAACATAACATAACCATATGTACACCCATACAATAGAAAACAATAAAAAAGCTTAGAGAACAGTACAGATGGAATATTCAGTTATAATACAGATGTAATGTGACCAAAGCAGAAATTATGAGGTAGCATTATGAGTGTTCAGGAGTCCAACAGCAGAGGGGAAGAAACTGTTCTTATGGCGGGAGGTTCTGGTCCGAATGGACCGAAGCCTCCTGCCTGAGGGGAGTGGTTCAAACAGTCCGTGTGCAGGGTGAGCAGGGTCAGCTGTGATCCGACCTGCTCGCCTCACAGTCCTGGAGACGTACAGGTCGTGGAGGGATGGAAGGCTGTAGCCGATCACCTTCTCAGCTGAGCGCACAACGCGCTGCAGTCTGAGTCTGTCCCTGGCAGTGGCCCCGGCGTACCACACCGTGATGGAGGAGCTGAGGATGGACTCGATGATGGCCGTGTAGAACTGCACCATCAGCTTGGCCGGCAGCTTGGCCTTCTTCAGCTGTCGCAGGAAGTACAGTCTCTGCTGGGCCTTCTTGATGAGGGAGCTGATGGTCGGCTCCCACTTGAGGTCCTGGGTGATGGTGGTGCCGAGGAACCGATAAGAATTTGCAGTGGTGATGGGGGTATCATTACAGGTGAGGGGAGGCAGAGGGGCTGTGGCTTTCCTGAAATCCACAATCATCTCCACTGTCTTCCGGGCATTGAGTTCCAGGTTGTTGCTGCTGCACCAGGTCACCAGCCGGTCCACCTCCCTCCTGAATGCAGACTCATCACCGTCCGAGATGAGCCCGATGAGGGTGGTGTCATCTGCAAACTTAATAAGTTTCACAGAGTCATGGCTGGAGGTGCAGCAGTTGGTGTACAGGGAGAAAAGCAGGGGGGAAAGCATACAGCCCTGTGGAGATCCTGTGCTTACAGTCTGAGTGTCCGAGACAGCTCTCCCCAGCCGCATGCACTGACTCCGGTCTGTCAGGAAGTCTGTGATCCACCTGCAGGTGGAGTCAGGTACATGGAGCAGGGAGAGCTTGTCTTGGAGCAGAGCAGGGAGGATGGTGTTAAATGCGGAGCTGAAGTCCACGAACAGGATCCTGGCGTAGGTTCCTGGGGAGTCCAGGTGCTGCAGGATGAAGTGAAGAGCCAGGTTTATTGCGTCATCTACAGACCTGTTGGCCCTGTAGGCAAACTGCAG